GATGAGCAGAACAAATATGAGGCAGCCCTACAGCTCTCTTCAGACCTTGCATATTCAAGCATTGCTGAGAAGGATAGAGTCTTGAAGAAGGAAACAACAGGCGGACTACAAGATAATGGACTAAAAAGTTCATGCCTACCACATTGCCATTCAATATGTTCTTTTGCCTCACTTCAAGGTTAGATACTCTTTGTTTTTTGTTTTTAAATAAATCAATATCCCTCAGGAAACAGGAAACGTATCAGGTATCCTTTATTGTGAGGGACACTTCACCTTGGTTTTCATATTTTAAAAATTGTCTTCCACCACCAGTTAATGTTGGGTGTTAGAAAGTTTGACTGACTCCAGCTTTTCACTTATTTAGTGCTCAGAGAGTAAGGAAGCCATGGATAATTGTCTGCACTATAAAGGCAGTTATAATTCAGTCTTTCCTTTTCCATGGATAGCTCCTCAGCCATGCAAAGAAGGGCACCACATCTGTGGTGGTAGAAAGCACCATTTTCAGTTGAGTGACAAGCTCCATCCAAGTGGTAAGATGATCAAGGATGGGAATGGGGAACCTGATGTCCTTTAGATGGTCCAACTACCACCAACCCAGCCAGTGCAGGCAGTGGCTGGTGAAAGTTCTATGCCAGCAACATCTGAAGAGCACCAGATTCCCTTTCTTGATTGAGGTCCGCCTTCCCCAACCTGGTTCCTTCCAGGGACTACAACTTCCCTCAGCCTCCACCAGCATGGTCAATGGTCAGGGATGATGGGAGTTGTAGTCCAAAACATCTGGAGGACATCAGGTTGGGGAAATCATTGGATATGGAGGCCATGATGTGTCCATGGATTTGAGAGGGTGGGGGGAATTGCCACCATAAAATACCCAAAGTCAGTTTCAGTAGGCATCAGGGTCTTTCTGCTTTATTATGTCTACATTAGCCCATAAATGCCCTAGTTTTGAAACTCATGTACTTATGCTGTATGATATTTGTTTAAGTGTCAGCTCTCAACCTCCCATCTGCCAGACTCTGAATGCTCATGCTCAGAGTGTACTCCAAGCACACCAGGAACAAGACAGTGCTAGTCGGAAATGAGGTTGTGTGTGTGAGAGAGAGGGGGTTCTTGCTGTTTTCTACTCTAACCCAGGAGCTGGCTTTCAAAGACCTTTAATCAGTATATTTTCCCAGTTAGATATATAATCCTTCCCTGAAAGTACATGTGCATGTATCGCATATGTCATGCTACGCCGTGTAAATGTGCAGATATAGATGCACAGCACTGTAAGATAACTCTGCAACTGACATCCATGTGCAGTTGTGCATAACAAAAGGTAAGATGTGCTGAACGCCGAAGCCTTACACCCCCCAGCTTACAACCACTGAAACAACAGAAATCCTCCAGAATAATTTTCTTTATCATTTGTATTTATTTATTTACTTGGAGCCTTCTTTAAAGATATTATTAGCTGTTAATATCTCCCTGTGGGTTTGTTTTCTAATATATATCAGTGCCGTGCTACAGTATGCTGTTTCTGCTGGTGATATGTTGCTAAGAGATTTAATAATGGGCAAACAAACACAACATGTGGTAATCCATTTCAAATTAAAAGTTTATTAAACACCAGCTTGATGACTTTCTGGCTATTTACAATTAAAGGAGCAAACCTTAGGGAACTGGGGCCCACGTGACGAAATGTACAGCGTTGCCATTTCCAACAGAACAAATGCATTTATGATCTGCAGCAAGCTGTTGCCCATTGATAGATCTTACAAATACTGTCTTTAATCTACTAGGACACAACATAAAACTTTGCTAATGCTGAGATGCAAGTCAGAAAATGTAAGAAAAGTCTCTTGCAAATGAGGAGGGTGCTTATAGTTTTTAACAAGATTCTCTGAGGTGTTAGAACAGTGCAGTTCTTTTTTTCTAAAAAAGTTTAGGGGTACTCTCATTTTCCTACTCATATTGAAATACTGCCCCTCAATGAGGCCAAACTTAGATTCACAAAATGTTTAGGGGTATGCATGTCCCTGCATCCCCCCAGAAAAAAAGCACTGGAACAGTCTTATAAGAGACTAATCACTATATAATTTGCTTCATAATGTTGGCGGAAAACATATTTTGATACCTACGTAATCTTATTTTTATGCTGCCTTTCCACAGTTCAAACCATGCTCAAGGAGGCTTACAATGTGAAAAAAGTACATAACAAAATAGTCATAAACAATAAATAAAACATCAGAAAGTGATCACGTTTAAAGAGAAGTGAAGCAGATCATTCAGGGAAATGATTTTTTTTAAAAAAACAACCAGGGTAATGTTTAATGTAAGGAGTGGGGTGGTGATTATTCATTTCTTATCAAGACACAACACAATCTGAAGGCAGCCTTTTTGTGAAATTCAACATAGGCCCCAGACTAGATTCTAATAGCAGGTGTCTTAGTTGTGAAAAAGACATTGACAGCTCATTCACACTTGAAAGTTGGCAGTGGGGTGTGTGTGTGTGTGGAGAGAGATTCTATTGCTGAAAAGTAATGTGGTGTTTTGCAAGGAGGAAGATGTTCGAATAATCCACTTTGCGTGTGTTCTCAAGTCTGAGCACCTTTTGATCTCTGATTCAAATTCCGTCAGGTGATGCATTTATCATAACATGAGTAACGCCATTGTCAGATGCATCTCCCTGTTCTTTCCTGTTGAAATCTGAAAGCATGTCTATCCAATTAAACTGCAAGCAAGTAGCAGGGAAAATAGAGAACCAACACAAAAGCAAGGAGGTGATTTAGCAGAAGCTGATTTCTCTCACCTTGTGTTTAATAAACTAACAGACACAAATCCAGCCTAACAATTTATGCTGGAGAAATATATGTCATTAGGTTGAGTGTGACATGTGTAGAAAATAGGAGCGGACACAGTTTTGGTCAGTTTCTGTTTGGTACAGCTTGTCTCTCTCTCTTTTTTCAGTCTGAGGGGTTATGAACACTTACCTTTTTGCTCTGTACTTTTTATTTCCTGGTCCCTTTTCCTCTCCCTTGCTACTTTGGAGCAAACAGCAATTTAGGTTTTCTGCAGCGGGTTTTCATGGGGAAAGCGGTGGTGCAACCCCCCCCCTCCAAAAGCGTTTGGAACTGGACCTGTAAACCCCAGATGTGTGCCTAGAAATGAGGGATGTAAGGGTGGATGAATTCAGCTCTCCACGTTTCTGCAGCAATTTGCAGATTTTAGTGATTAAAATCCTCAGGAATTTCCCTCCAGCCTTTTAGTGCAAATTTCTCCCAATAAACACATTTTTGCATACAGTTTTGACTAATGTGCACATTTTATAAGCAGTTTCTCCCAATTTAATGAATCAGTTATTTTCACTGATGTCTAATATTTGCATTTTTGTAAATGTTGCTCAGTTGGAGAACTGTATTGCAAAATTTGGATAAGTCTGAATTACTAGTCATTATGCTGCATATGGCAAGTGTAGAAGGTAAGAGTCGACCAGTTTGTGAATTTCAGTTTCTTCCAGGTTCTCATTTTTCTAATCTGAAACTCAGTGTGCCACATTTCTGCATCAGTTTGCAATATCTGTCAGCATTTTACTGCACATTTCTACTAATATACAAATTTTCAATGCAATTTGTATGCAATTTCACTAATTCATGCAAGAATGCATATAATCTAGTACACATTATTGGACACATTTTTTTTGGATGGAGAACCACATCACACCGTTGGGAGACATGCTAATTTCAAAGGCTATCTGTGTTGCGGGTTCGCATATTGCTTGAGGATGCATGTATTAGGTAGATGTGTCCTTAAACGCAGGTTGAACCTAATTTCCCTCCCATCCCTTGCTTTTTTTGTTGCAAGGACCTGCTAATGTGGAAGTTCTGTCATTTTAAAATGATAATAGAAACAAAACAATAATGGTAAAAAAAATTTTTTTATTGTTTATACCCCACCCATCTAGTTTGGTTTCCTCAGCCACTCTGTGTGGCTTCTAGCACATATAAAACATAATAAAACATTAAACGTTAAAAACCTCCCTATCCAGGGCTGCCTTTCAATGTCTTCTAAAGGTTATTTAGTTCCTCATCTCCTTGACATCTGATGGGAGGGTGTTCCACAGGGTGGGTGCCACTACTGAGAAGGCCCTCTGGCTGGTTCCCTGTAACCTCACTTCTCCCAGTGAAGGCCCTCGGAGCCATAGCTGTCAACTTTTCCCTTTTCTTGCAAGGAATCCTATTTGGAATAAGGGAATTTCCCTTAAAAAAAAGGGAAACATTGACAGCTATGCTCGGAGCTGGACTTCGGTGTCCAGGCTGGAATGTGTCTTGGATTTCAGAACTGACAGAAATAGACTGGTAACATTTGTTATTGTGCAGAAATACCATCATGCATGCTGAAAATGGGAGAAGGAAGTGGAAGGTGTGAGAGGAGTGACTATGAGAAAGGGAAGACAAACACAGCAGAGATAAAACCTTCCATCAAGCTCCGCCCACGAAGATCCATGATTGGGGGGGGGAGGATGGAAACTATGGAAGCTAATCACATACACAGAAACACTGGATCTGAACAACCCTTTTGTGGGATAAAGCCCCCATGTGGAAACTTCCTATGACATGTCATTGTTTTTTGAGCAAACAAACCAGCCAAAGTGTTCCATTTTAAGGGAAGCACATGCTTCCCATTGCAAATTAAAACAATGCATTCACATCCATGTGTACACACACCTCTTTCGCTTTAGCTGGACCACGCCATGGCTCATCTTTCTCTGGTGTCGTTGCTTTTAATATACCCCATTTGGTTTCAGTGAACAACGTTCTCATCTACTGGAGGGGTAGTAAAAAGCTTTAAACAGTTGCGCGGGTCTTTTAATGGTAAATTTGTTTTGACAGAGCTGTTTTGCAAGGGCCTGGGCCATCCCGAAGTGATGGTGGCTGACAGTGCTTTGCTGTTCTCGGAGCGAGGAAACATGTGGAAGGAATTGTTCTTTTACATTTCACAGCTTGTTATTTCCTCCGCAGGGCAACCTTTGACCTCTCCGAGAGATTCTGACACCCATAAGGGAAGTATTCCCACTGTTGAAAAGGAAGTGGGAAAGCAGTTTAATGGTGCAGAAGGTTGGGAACGGTGCGTGTCAAAAGAAACTCGGACGAAAAGAAAGGATCAGCTCTTGAAATGTTTCCAGCAGGTCAGAGCTTTTATCGCTCCGGATAATTTGCTAACACTTTGAAAATAGATTTGCTTTGCATATGTCTTTCGATTACGAAAACACACATCTCCGCACCCCCAACGATACCGTCTGTCAATTATTTCACTAGGCAGGCGAAGCCACGGACAAGTTTAAATCAAATGTGAAGGATCAAACAGAGCCCTGCAGAAAAGGTACAGAAAAGACGTGCCGCTCTCTAAAACACACGTGTGTGTGTGTGTGTGTGTGTAGGCTCAATGTGTTTGCAATTACAAGGTGTGTGTGGAGTGTACTGACAACATCAGATTAGAGGTGGTGTTTCTACGACATTTTTACACCCCTTTGCATTTTATTTGGCGGTTTATATTTGCAGATCATGATGTCTCCCGCTCTCCCCTTTCTCTCCTCACACTAGTATTATTAGCAGCATCTCTTTGCTAACAGAGGTCTCCTTCCCCAAATGGCTTGCCTTATTCATGATCTTAAAATCATTTTGCAGCTCAGATGAATGGAATAAACTCTCATCTTCCAGCAGCCATGAGAAAATACTTTTTCAAACTATTGTGCTGTTTCTGTGTGTGTGGATCAGAACACAAATTTGCAGGTCCATCCCTTTAGGCCTGTACTTATGAGGAGTGGTCTGAGGGCTTCCTTCTGCTAACCTTTTACAGCTGCTTAGAGCAGCTAATTCTTCCTCCGTGGCTTAAAAAAATATATGCTCCCAGGAAGTGACACTCCACATTATGATGTATGGTTACTTCCAGGGAGCATTTTTTTTTAAAAGTTTCTTTTAATTGTGCAACCATGGTGGATTTACTAGCGATTCCAAGTAGCTGTAAAATGTAGAAAGAAAGAAAGAAAGAAAAAAAGAAAGAAAGAAAGAAAGAAAGAAAGGCACAACTCAGACCTCCTTGTAATTTTTTTGGGAAGTAAGTGAGTGAGGGAAATGAGGGTAAAACCCAGTGGCTTTTTGAGGATCCTGCCCAAAAAAACAATTCACCCACAAATGGAACAAGACAGAGCTGGTTTTATGCACATACAGTGGTACCTCGGATTAAGTACTTAATTCGTTCCAGAGGTCTGTTCTTAACCTGAAACTGTTCTTAACCTGAAGCACCACTTTAGCTAATGGGGCCTCCTGCCGCCACCGCACAATTTCTGTTCTCACCCCGAAGCAAAGTTCTTAACCCGAGGTACTATTTCTGGGTTAGCGGAGTCTGTAACCTGAAGCGTATGTAACCTGAAGCGTATGTAACCCAAGGTACCACTGTACGTGAAATTAGCATGGGACTGAAATAGGTTGACAACTGATCCACTCCGTACTCCACTGAGCCACCAGACATGGCTTGTGGGCTTCGTTCAGGACGTTGGGTCACACTGCTGGTTCTGGGATGGATCTCGTGTTCAAAGGGAGCTAAGAGGGGAGTGTGAAACTTGTATCAGCTGGAAAGGCCCTAGGAGAGATGACATTTATGCTCCCTAGCTGACTTATGAAGCAATTGCTGTGGCAATGCAGCAGGCTTTTCCTTATTCCACTTCCCATTCTATACAACTTCAAGGGGCCTATGGCTTCCAGCATGCAGCATGCTTCTCTGTGTCTGCTGTATATATAGGATGTAAACGTAATTACTTGATAAAACGCCAGAAGCTGCTCCTATCAATAATTCCTTATAGGCAGTGTTTCAAAGGGGTCAGTGACATTTGCTGAAATAAAGGAGTTTGTGTCCTCCATTTCCCCATGCCTAGATAGATTGTGCATGGGTAGGGTCTTGGGTTCGGGCAGATAATATCATTTTATTTATGTCGCGAAAGAAATTGGTGTCTTGTCATTTCAGTTGCTCTAGCCTGTTTTCTAGAAACTGTTCTCTAATAAGAGCCTGGTGTACACATCACATAACAAAATCCCCACCACAGGAAACAACCCCAGCAGCAGCAGCAACAATTATTGTTATTATTTTAAAATGTGTGTGTCACCTTGAGCTCCTAGGCGAATTGCAACATACAAAATAGGAAATACAATAAAAACAATCCATAAACCAAATTACATAAGAACACCAGTGGTTCGTCTGGTGCCTTCATTATATATTTTTAGGTGCCAGGCGAAAAAGTTCTTCAACCAGGTCTTTGGCTGATTAATATTCTACAGCCTTTTACATGTGTGTGTGGGAAGGAGGGGGGTATTGTTTTGCTGTTTTGTTTTACTTATTTACTTGTTTTTATCCTGTATTTTATTCTGTGAACTGCCCTGAGATCTTATATAAATCTAATAAATCATAATAATTATACATTTCCCCATCCAAATTACAACGCCAAGAAGCAACATTTAAAAACTGTCAGCAGAGGAAAAATATTAACTCCAAAGCCCTTAAAAAGTGTCACTGTTAAAACTAATGAAACTGCTAAAAAACCCAAAAAGACTAAGGCGGGGGAGACTTTGCTTGGTGCCAAAAAACTGCCACAGAAGGCACCAGGTGAGCTTCTCTGGGGAGAGCATTATGTAGTCAGGGAGCCACCACTGAAAAGGTCATTTTCCCTCATTGCCACCCTCCACTCTTCCAATAGAGGAGGCCTCCTACGAAGGGCCTCTGTATATGATCTTGATATCTAAGTAGGCTTATATGGGAAGAGGCATTCTTTCAGGTACTGGGGTCCTGAAGCTGCGTTAGGCTCTATAGATTAATGTTAGCACCTGGAATTTGGCCTGGAAATGTACTGGCACTCAGGGCATGCAAGGACAGGTGTGGTAGGTTGTGAATGCGTGGTCTTTGGTAGTATATATGTAGCCAGATTCTGCAACTGCTGAACTTTCTGGACCACCTTCGAAAGCAACCTCACATATAAAACATTGCAGTAATCCAGACAGGAGGTTTCCAGAACATAGTTTACTGATGCTAGGATAACCCCAGCCAGATAGGGATGTACCTGGGGCTCCAGATTAAGGTGGCAAAGTGAATTCCATGCAACATAGGCCACTTTTGCCTCCAGGGACAATGGTGGATGTAGTTCCAAACTTGATCCTCCAGGGTGAGTGCAACCCTCTCTAGATCCGATCTGGACCAAGGGAACCATCCACAAGCAGCATCTTCATCTTGTTTGGCTTTGGCCTCAGCTTGTTGGCGCTCAACCAGTCCATTTCTGTAGACAGGCACCTGCCTTAGAACATCCACCACTGTATCTGATGAAGAAAAAGAGGGAGAAATAGAGTTGTGTGTCATCCACATATTGATGACAGCATGCTTCAAACTCCAGATGTCCCCACCCAGCAGGTTCTTGTGGATATTAAATAGGATGGAGAATAAGATTGTCCTCGTGGAACCCCAAGGGACCAAACATAAATCCCCGGCACCATTTTCTGGGGCCAACTGTTCAGGTAAGAATGGAGCCACCATAAAGCAGTGCCCCAACTCCCAACTCCCAACTTGGATAGCTGTTCTAGAAGGATACCATGGGTCAGTTGTATCAAAAGACACTGAGATGTCCAGGAGAACCAATAAAGTGTCACTCCCTTGTCTCCCATCATACCTCAAGATGCAGTCCCTTAGCTGCATTCTGGAATGTATTCAGAGGACTGTACCATGCCCTTTTACCTGATAATCTGAAATCTGCTTTTAATCTAGTAAAATCAGTGGGTTTAAGAAAATGCAGGAGGCCAAAGAATGTAATGATTTTGGAGCTCACTTACTAAAATAATTACAGCAAAGTGGCAATGTTGGATCTTTTCCCCCCATTGTTTTTCTAAGAAAGCAGAAATATTTATGTTTGGGTATGGTTTATAATTGTCCCTAGACTTGTCAGTGGGATTTTCATTTTAATTACAATTTCTAGTGCAGCTGTTCTACTCCTTCCATCATCTCATAGTTGATAGGGCATCTAATTAGCACTTTATAGCATTTTGCGGTCAATTATAAAATGTTATAAAAAAGAGAGAATGCAGTTTAGCAGAGATGAAATGTGCAATTCTCGTTTTTGTTTTCATGGGGCTAATTTGCTGAGTAGTAGTGTGTATATGAGAGGGAATTTTTACATAGAATTTTATAAGCCACATTTCCTCTCTAGCAACTATGAAAAACTCCTATGATAAAAAAAAGTAGTCTGGAGCCGTTAGATGTCTTTCTGATTGCTGGCCCTATTAAAATCTTCTTAAAGTAATAGATAGGTTTAATTCCTCAAGCCAAAGAAAAATTATAGCATCTTAAGTATTTTCCACATTTATTATACTGATGTGCCTGTAGAAAGAACAGAAAGAAAAATCTAAGAAAGAAGCAAAATCTCTTGTATTGCAAGTTTTAAATGTACCAAGCTAAGGTTTACTTAATTAGAACCTCCAGGCAATAAAGGAAGCCTTTTTTAAATTCTGTGAATCTTAATATGCTAAATAATGCAAAGCTTCAACTCTTCAAGCATGAGACACACATCTGGCCGCTTAACATTTAAATTACGTGGGGGGGGAGGGGAAGAGAAATCCCTTCCACTTCTGAGGTAATTTTCTTGAAGAAAAGAATGGGAAATGTATTACAACAAAATTTAATTTCATTTCAGATTTTCATTGTGTTTAATTGCACAGCATTTTTTTTTAGAGCATCTCTCTTTTATTTATGACACATTTTCTTTTCTCCTCCTGTAATTTTTTTATTGATCTTTAATTTAAGCAGCTCCTCACAGTTTATGGCTGCTGAAGAAGTACATTGTGTTTTACCAGGAAATCTATCTAGAGTTAAAAGTAATGAGCTCAGTGATACAGAAAATAAAGGGAAGAATACAAGCTCAAAAAAACCCTCCACCAACCAAAGCACAACCGCCCACAGGAAAATCATTCAGCAACAGTATATTCAATTTGTTTTCCTCTCCAACGTCTCACTCAGGCATACCAATCCTTTCTTTCCCTTTCCCCCCTTCATCTCCAGGCTCTCTGTATTTTGTTGAAACTCATATGAGAAATTTAGGGTTACTCAATGAATATGGATCAAACCACCCTATCATGCTGGTGCCACAAATACATT